CCCCCCCCCAACTTCCACCCCACACCTATTTCATTTTTGTGACCATGCCTACAATTTGAAAATTTCGTTTAGCATACCAACTTACAGGTGATAAAAAATCTGGCAACAGGGTGGAAAAAAACAAACAAAAAAACTACAAAATATATGGAGCTATGGAAGGTTGGGGGATGTTCAAAGGGGCTAAGAAGGAAAAAAAGAATTTTGGGCTCTATTTAAAAAAAACAACGAAACATCTAATTAAGCTCACCCCCTCTAAATCCACCCCCTCCCCATTCATTCTTTTTGTAAACATGCCTTCAAATTGAAAATTTCGTTTAGCATACCAACCTATAGATGATCAAAAATCTGGCAATAGGGTTAAAAAAACAAACTTCAAAAGAAATGGAATGATGGAAAGTTGGAAAGTTGGAAGATGTTCAAAAACGCTTTAGTAATAAAAAAACAACGAAAATAAGCGATGTATAATTCAGCATTAGTTAACTATCACTGTCAGCATTTAATTTAATGAAGAATACACGTAAGTTTACATATACAAAAATTAGATGTGAAATAATATACATATCTGAACTGCAAGATTACCGCGAAATAAATAATAATTTATTAATAATGAATAATGTAGCCTATTTAATACCGGTATGATAAACAAATGATTAATGTAATTAAGGAATAATAAGTACAATTGGCATAACATTAGAACATTTGTATGATTTAAAAAGTGCTCATTTTATTTTTATCAACCTTTTTAAAAAACATTTTTGTTCTTCTTCAACTTCAGGTGTTTGAAATTATCAAGATTTCTAATGGTAGGCCTATTTACTGTGACTTTTAGACTGAACAAATGCCTGCATGATTTCAAATCTTCTTCAGTTTGTTTGTTTTAACATCTTGACCATGGAGAAAGTTGATTTTAGATTTATTCCCAGTCTAATTATAAAAAAGGAACAAGATGTAATGCCAAAGTCAGAAATAGATATAGACTTTGACTTTAATAAACTCCTAAAGAAAGAAATATATAATGATGAAGATAATGTTAACCCAAAGCAAGATACAGACTGTTTGGTCAGTGTAACAGAAATAGATAACGACATTTTTAAACACCTAAAGAAAGAAATATATAATGATGTTAACCCATTGAATGCAAAAGTTAAACTCGAGACACAGACAGGATTTTGCAGAAATGAGAAATTTGAAACAAGTTCAATTTTAAAAGTGTGCACTGATTCTGATTGTGTTTCAACAAATTTCTCAAACAAATTAACAGAAGATCAATTTGCCTGTTGTCAAGAGAAATTTTCCTGTAAAAAACCAGAGAATGTGCTAAACCAGCAACATGTGAAAGATATAATTTCTTCATCAAACCTGGGACCCAGACAATCACATTTAGCTGTACCGGCATCTAAAGATATAATTTCTTCATCAAACCCGGCACCAGGACAATTACATGAAGCTGTATTTAAAGAAATGAATAGTGGAAAAAAAAAATTTAAATGTGACACTTGTAATTCAGTTTTCGATGACATTTCACACATTGTGACACCCAAACAATCATGTGATTGTGATAACACAATGCCTAACAAATGTAAAAAATGTTTCACCGTAGCTTTCT